TACCTAAAGTTATTTTAAAGTCAAGTATTAAAATAGTGCATTTGTTGAAATCAGTAAAAAATAATGAAAATATTTTTTAAAAAATCCTTAGATAACTGCAAAGCCCTTTATACACAAGGGAAAAAGCAAAGCTCTGCAACACAAGAGGAAAAAGGAAATGCTTTGGAGATAGGGTCTAGTGTGTAGCCCATACCGAGCCATGACATCAGTGTAATTATTTTCCCCTAAGGTAAATGTCTAATGTTACAAATCCTTCCCTTGCCAGAGGCCTCAGGCCCCACAGATAGCAAAGCACTGGAGTCCTCAACACCCAAGAGGTCTCACAGAGCTCTGCTCCTGCAGCCCAGACAACTTCTGCTCCTTCCATTCCCTGTTTGCTGCCTTTCCACCAGGCAGGGGCAATTCCCTCTTGGAGCCCAGAGTAGGTGGTGCAGCTTGAAGGGCAGGGTGCACCCCTGCAGCAGACCTTGGCAGCTTCTGCTCCTGCTGGAGTCACGTTTCTGTCCTGCGCTGGGGCCACATTTCCAAAACATGGCAATTGAGCAAACACTTCCCACTGAGAAGAATACCTGACACTGATCTTCAGCCCTCCTGCATCTCGTTCTAAAGAGTTCAGATGGTGCTGCCTGATAAGAGGTTTTACCCTTCACCCTTGTTTTTTTACAAATAAAACTCCTTAAGATCAAACACTTGGTAAGGCATATTGGTTATGCTATTTATTACGTAGGAAATAAACTAAATTAAAGGTGATTATATTACTTCAACAACTTACCCAGCACTTGTGCTATAAGAATAGATGAAAAAAAAAGAGATAAAGATATTAGAGTTAAAATATTGGGTGTTGAATTTGCATATTTTAAGCACAATCCCTTTTTAAAAAGGTTGTTACTCCATTCCAACATGAGAGTCAGTTTGTCCAGACAAAAAAGTCAAGTATAAATACCATTATAAACCGTATATTTATATATACCCATCACAATAGTACTGTTAAGTATAAATACCATTATTTTGTAAGTATCATATAAAGAGTGCATTTCAAAATCAGTTTTAAAGGAAAACTTGGAATATGCTACCTACGTTGTTTACTATTAAGCCACACAGAGTAATGGAAATAAATGGTCACGTCTGGTTTTGCTTACTAGCATTAATTACTACTAAGGATAGGTAATTAAGGGTTATACTTACAATATGATCTATTTTAAATTAAATAATTTAAAATACCAGTTAAGGCATTCCTGTGTATTTCTCTGTATTTACTGTATGTAATAACACATATATTGACATAATTAAATGGCAGCATGTCTTAAAAATAAGTGCAGCATATGTTTCTGAATTACAGAAAAAGTAAAATATCTTAATAATATAATAAAACTTCTGTCTATAATACCAGAGGTATACCAGAGTAAATTTGAAAGCATGCAAATTGGAAGCAGAGCCCAGCTAAGGAGTGGTTACATGAAAATAGCTCCATTCTATAAAAATCCAGCATTCACATGTCTCACATCCAGTATTCACAGGCAAGTTACTTCTCTTTGTGTTAGGTCAGAATACAAAGTGGATAATTTTGTCCACTTGTTTAACATTTTTACAAGTGTAAATATATTATAGCAGAAATAACAATGCAAAAAGAAGTCTCAAAAATATCCTTCAGCTGGGAACACATACTGCTGCAATATACTTTCAGAACTGACATAACCTAGCTAAACAGCCCTTTAAAAATGAAAAATATAGAAACACTTTGTTTTAATGTTTACTTGGCTTTGTACTGACTTTATGGAATGCTGATTAAATTATTTTCATGGCTCTGGTCTTAAACTAGACCAAGCTGGGGTTTAAAGGTCCGAGGTCCCTGGCCTAAGGAAATCAGTTTCGGAAAAAGGTGTAGTATTGGTGCAGAAGGTGTCACAGCCGCCAACAGGAGAGGGGAGCCTTCAAGCTACAGAGCAGCACAGGCAGACATCGAAAGTGGGAGCTGCCAGATTTAGTTACAACACAAATTTCACATTGGCCCCAGTCCACAGTATGTTTAAGTAATTAATACTCATTTCAGCCAACCATCATTCTTTGTCTTCAACAGACATCCCAATGGAATACAAAGATTTGTCTCATTCTTCTTGCCCTTCCTTATACAACTGACAAACATTAATGGTTATTCCATCAAATAGTGCAGTGCAGAATCTCATACAAGCTGATTTGTCATCTACAGTTTGTTGGTGCTGGTTCCATCTAAAGGGAAACTTCAAAGAAAAGGACGTCAATAACGTTTTAAGCTGCCAAGAAAAAGATATAACTATTTGACATGGTAGACACAGGAAAGACTGTAAAGCCTGGGTGCTGGTTTCACATCAAAAGCCAATGATAAAAATAAAATACAGGAATATTATGTAGAGAAAGTCTGAGATTTTGTACAGAATTATTTGGTTTGGTAGTACTAAAATTACTACTCCAAAGGGATTTTGCTGGGTATCTCTCCATTTACCATGCAGCATATGAGACAACACTACAGAAAACTATATACCTTCTGGCACATAGAGGGTATTTTAAAACTATGGAAGTGTGGCAGGAATTTGGTTGGAAAGAACAGGTTTGCCAGTTAGTGATAAAGTTCAGAATACACATGAAGAATCGGTTTCCAAAAGCAGGAAAACTAAATATGGAAAAACTCATCTGGATTTCTAGTTGAGTGTGAGCCAACTAATGTCTTGATGCTGCACTGATTTCAGTATCTTGGAGGGATATTCACAAAGTTTTTAGTAACTGCGTGAGTAAATAGACTTTTTAGAACAAAATGGGTCTATCTGACTGTGAAAAACAGCAGTGTGACTTTTCAAGAAGCCATAGAAACAATCTGTAAAGTGCTCTCTAACAATCATGCAAGGCAGCAATAAATAAAAGTCAAGGCCTGATCCTACAAATGAAACTTGCCATAGTTACTACCTTGCAGGTCCAGTGTTTCATTCATTTTTCAAATTCTTGCTTCATGTGTACTTCATTAAAAGCTCTTAATTTAATTTTCACCTGTTTACGCTTTCAACAACTTCGCTTTCACACTGAGACGGCTGCCATGGCATCAAGCACTAAATAAAATCTTCAGCTCAGTAACAAAAAGATCTTTTCTTACTAATACTTTCAATAACTCACCTTGCATGGGAGACCTAGTGTGACTCACTGACATTCCTGGGCCCTTAAATGAGGTGAACTCATCTCTCAGGAGAAGAAATAGGACTGTCTTTGTCTGGGCACAACAGATAGAATCATTCCTCAGGAATCTTTGAAATATGCCTTCCTGTTCCCAAAGCAACTGATTTGCCTCCCTTTGCTTCAGACTTTATCAGAGCAACTTGGTCAAAGCTCTTAGAAACTCAAACAATAATATCTACAATCAGTTCAGACTCAGCTGCAGAATTATTTTTGGCTCATAAAGGAGAAAGAGCTGGATTGGCAGTCCCTTCATCCATGATGACTGCAACTGATTTGGCAGCTCTAACTAGACTTTCAAAACTAACCTCTCTGATAACCCCCTGATTCTAATTTTTCTAGCAAACAAACTAGCAAATTTTGTCTGCCTCTAAATTAGCAGGATCCAGATCTCATTGTACAAATCTGTTTGTATGGAAATCTCTTGACCTATTTACATCTCCATTTCTGACTCAGGTTTCTCTTTGGTGGTTGTGATTAAAAAGGAAGTACGGCAATCATGTTGAATGAAAATAAATTAAAGCTGTGCACTTTCCCAATTAGGCCCTTTGTGGGATGACTTTCAACAGGAAGACAGGCTCATCCATCACTCTGAAGTGCAAATACATTTTAAAGCTTCATCCTCTGTTATAATTTCAAATTTCATAATTACTTATCTTGGGTGTGGTTAGAGTTGCAAAAAGTTGTCTCCTTATGGGTGCAGAGCTAGAGCACTTGAATCTGCAACAGAGTCACTGGTTCTAGTTTTGAAGGGCTGGCAAGTCCTGAGTCAAACCCCAAAACTTCTATCACTTTGTGAATAATCACATATATTAATTGAATTTGAATTGTTAACTATGTGCTGTGTTTATTTCCGTGCCTCAACTTGGCTCCCTGTATTGCCTCAAGAGCAACAAATGAATCTGAGTTTTATTCTTCATTTATACAAATACAGTTTTAGGCATAGTAATAGTACATACATTTTTAGAAGCTTTTTAGAAACCAAAAAGCCTTCTATTGAAGTTGACAAGGTATTTGCATTGTCACAGTACATTACATGGATTGGACGCTTAACATATAACTGTACTGATCTTCATGGCAAACATAATAACAAAAGCAAGTTGTTCTGAGATTTTTCTATTTCTATTAAAAAAAAAAAACAAAACAAAAAAAAAAAAAAAAAAACCAAAACCCCTTTCCAGTGAGGGACCACATGTAAAACTATGGTTTCTCTGCACACAGAGCAAGGCTGCTTATTACCTACAGTGTACCAGCTATGATGAACAGACCACCATAGTTGTGACAACTGATGTTGCTGCCTCCAGGGTAAAACAAAGGTTTACATATTACACAAGCAATTTAACTGTTTTCTAAACATATTGCCAAGACAGTGGGAGTTGGCAGCCAGCACTGTGTTTTAGGTTTTGGATACTTGGATTAGAAGTGACTGCTGATTATAGACCTTTTTATTCGTCTTCTACGAATTACAAGCAACCTAGTAACCCAGCAAAGAATCCTTCACAGCACTTAAACTTGTCTTCATGGCTTCCCAAAGATTACATACACAAATCACTCCACAAAAGTGGCGTAACAGACTTGTGCATAGATAACTACATAAGGCAATTGTCTTGTTCTAACTCTTAAAGACTTCCCCAAAGTGAAATGTTTTATAATCCTTTTTGTGCAGTAGTCAGGAAAGAAATGAAAGAGTTTGGGCAAAGATTATCCACAAGAAAGAAACTTTTTTTTTTTGGGTTCCAGCTGAAACACAATAAAGAACATAATTAACTTCACAATTCTTTGTGTTTTTCATTTGACTGCAGGGAGGAGATGAAAGAGGACTGTTAAGCCTTGCATTCCATCCCAATTACAAGAAAAATGGAAAGCTGTATGTGTCTTATACCACCAACCAAGAACGGTGGGCTATTGGACCTCATGACCACATCCTTAGGGTCGTAGAGTACACAGTATCCAGGTATCAGTAGAAGTCTAAAATTAACAAACTCTGTATTTCTCAGCAACCTCTGCACTTTAGTATTTCTGATTTCTAAAATGAATATGAGTTTACAATGTATAAACTTGGGCACCTGCAGAAAAAACTATTGTGGATTTTATTTCAAATAGTAATTTTGGAATGACAGAGCATAGTTTTTTTGCTTTTTAAGACTTTTTTTCAGTTATTCTGTCATTTTTTCAATTATGATTACTTCCTACTTATTGTGTATAGGCAGCAAAGTAATTGTTTGTGAATGCTGGAAAATTGAAATTTCTCAGAAATAACTGTTAGGCATTTTTCCACCAAGTAACAACATTCACATCTCGAAGTATAGTTTGAATGAGTCAAGTGTGTTTTCAGAAAGAAGAACAAAGATAGTGAACTGTGAAAACTGTGTTCATATCTTTAACTTGCAGGAAAAATCCACACCAAGTTGACATGAGGACAGCAAGAGTGTTTTTAGAAGTAGCAGAACTCCATCGAAAACATCTAGGAGGACAGCTTCTGTTTGGCCCAGATGGCTTCCTATACATTTTTCTTGGAGATGGCATGATCACTCTAGATGACATGGAGGAGATGGATGGTTTAAGGTACAAAAACTACCAGTGGATAGAGTTCTATTATTGTGCTCAAAGACCTCTTTGGCTCAGGAGAATTGCAGGTGCTTCTGTGGTTTTTAAAATTTTTCTTAAGTACAAGGGTATACTCAAAACCCAGACCAGAGGGCAATTGTAGTACCTGGTTTTAAATTAATGAAATGGTATTAATTTAAACATTAGATTGTTTCATGTTTATGGTAAGAGTGTGCTCCTCTACTTCTCCTTTCCTCCATCCCAATCACAAATATAAGTTAAAACACATTTTGGTTTCTCCTGTTTCTTGTAACAAGAAAGTTCTGAATCCTTATAAAAAAGTATCAGCACCTGCATTGAAACAATACAAATTTTTCTCACTTGCTTTCTATATAATTAGTCTTTGGATTGTATTGTGACTAGAAATCGTTGAATTCAAGAGTAGGATCCAAAGTGTGAGCAAAAAGCACTTTGTAATTACAAAGAGTTTATATCCAAAATTACTCTAGATGGCACACAGTATAAAAGACTTAGCAGCCTTATATTTGAGGCCCTAAACAATTTTGATGTTTAGAAAGTTATTCTTATGATCAAGTTGCTTCCCAACAACATGATCAGAGACATTTCAGTCTGCACATAACAAGGCAAGATATTTGCCAAAGTGAATCTCTGAAAGGCTCTGCTACACTTCTTTGGACTTGCATGCGCCATGATGGACTTGCATCCATCACTACGTGATTAATCAGTAAAGTGGCTTATTTATTTTGCTGGCTCACTCTAGTATTATATAGATTACATTTGCCAGTGAAACACCTTTAAAAACCCAATTATTTTACCCTCCAACTCTCTCAGTGATTTTACAGGTTCTGTATTGCGCCTCGATGTCAATACTGACCTGTGCAATGTCCCTTACTCCATCCCACGGAGCAACCCACACTTCAACAGCACCAACCAACCTCCTGAGATTTTTGCACATGGACTCCACAATCCAGGCCGGTAAGTGAGTTTCCACTAAACTGACATTGCTCTGGAGCAGACAGTTTTCAACCCAGCTTGCTTTTATACAGACAGGCAGCAATATTTCAGTAATAAAAGCACTCGTGAACTTTTTGAATCTTCCACTCCTCCACCTCCACACATATGTCACAGTTAGAAACAAATGTACATTGGCAAAGGGGAAAGAGAAGAGCATGCACAACTACTGCAAGTCAAGACCAAAATGACAGAAACAAAGTACAGAATTTTTAGTTTTAATTAGTAATAAAATTACTACCTTAGTGAAAGAAAAGAGCTTAAAGCAGAAAGCTGGTAAAGTACAGCTGAAATGGAAATCTTGACTGGGAAAAAAAGGCACGTGGAAAACAAATGAGAACATCTGGTGATATCTAAACAATAGCAAGGAGGAGAACAATGCTTTAACTAAACAACACATAATTCAGCAAATTAGGTGGGTGGTAGTACTGAAGTGACATTTAAAGTCTTGGTTTGAAAAAAAATCAGAAAGTCAAGTTGTTCAGATAAGGACTTGATTCTTGGACTTTTTAACAGTCCAAAATTCGTACACCATATAAGTTCATTTAGCTTAAGGTACTATTCTTTTCAGGTGCTATATTGCAGACTACATTATATCACCAGGGAAAATCGTTTTATTTCACATTACATAGAAATGTGAGGAATGGGAAATTGTATTATCTCCTGTGCATAAATCCAATGCATTTCTCGGGTATTTTGGCTCAGCATGTAAAAGGTCCCTCAAATGAAACAATAGGCACCACAAAGAAACAATAATGCTTTAAAATGTAATGCTTCATATTGATAGTTACATGTTATGAACTCACCTTTCTCATGGATTTTCTCTTTTTTTGTTGTTTTAAAGGTGTGCTGTGGACCGGCACCCAACCGATGTAAACGTCAATTTAACTATACTTTGTTCAGATTCAAATGGAAAGAACAGATCTTCAGCAAGGATCTTACAAATAATTAAGGGCAAAGACTATGGTAAGTTCTATCCAGGGTAAAGCTTCTGGCAATAGTCAGGTTCTGTTTCCATGGAATAATAAACAGAAAGAGAAGAGAATATGTAAAGGCCTGTATAGCCATGATAGGAAATTTACAGCATAGAGACAACTTATCTGAGATAGAAGTGAAATTTCTATCTTTTCAAAAGAAATCTTCGATGTAGAAGCGGATAAAAGATGCAGGCCAAAACCAAATGGAAATGACTCAACTTTGTTCTTGTTGGTGTAGAATATCATGTAAATAAGATTTAACAAATTTGACAGTTGCTAGTCTGTCAAAGATTTCACTGTTGCTGCATATTTTGGCTCATAAAGAGAATATTTTGGAATATCAGGAAATGATGAAAATGCATTCTTAGTTTTCTTAGTATTCTTAGTCTTTTACAAATAACCTTTTGAGACAGAGAATGGAAACCTCATGTAATGTGCCTCTTATAATGGAAAAAGTGAGATAGACAACAGCAGACCACAACCAAACAGGGAAATGACTGAGCTCTGTTTAAATGTTACTAAAAATAAAAAACTTAGAAAAAGGCACTATGCTGCTACTTCATAATAAATTACTAGTTTAGATTAGATTACAAAAAGATAAATACACTCAATTAGGGACTTTAAAATATTAAAGTGCTTCATGCTCTCTCTGAATCAGTATGATTGCCAGTCACAATTTCAGTTTGATGTTTAACTCTGGTGCTCACCAAGGTCCCTTGCAAGTTCAGGCAAGCCAGGTGACAATTCCTCTGAGCTATCAGCTGCCTTGACTGCCCATTTAGCAGCTTGTAAATTCCTGATGGTAACATGTGGTAAATGCCAACGGTGTCTAAAGGCATTGAGAACTGGCCTGTCTCCTGGAACATAGCATTTCCCTTTCTAATCACATCCCTGGGTTCTCCCACCTGTACTCCCCTTAAAAGCAAAGCAGCTGTGCTGGCTGGCACAACAGGACACAATAGCATAATGCAATTGTACTACTTCAGTTATTGCATGGATTTTGTGTCCAGTTTATAAAAGCCAAACCAAAGAATAATATTTGGTTAACCACTGCTCCAATGGAATTTTGACTGCATCCTTATTGCAGAGTAAACTAAGCAATATTGTGTCTGTCCCGAGCAGCCTGCCAATATTAATACTAGGCTGTGGGTCAATGGCTTCAATAAAAAGAGTTCATCACTGTTTTCTCCCCCATAAAATTTCAGCTCTAACTCATGTAGAACACTCTGGGAAATGCATTTTTCAAAGGCTTGCAGATAGCCTGCTGACTAAAAAAAAAATTCCTGTTAAAAAATGGTCAACTGGCTGTGGCTTTTTTTTAAATTATGCAGCTAGCATGTCAAATGGAGCCTACTTGTACCCTAAGTGGTATTTGGTTGCATGAATAGGAACATGTACACTGGAACTTCCTTGAAGAATTGTTTGATAGGACTAAAATCTGTGGTTTTGTGAAATAAAAAAGCAGAAAAGAAGTACAGGAATTGCAACTAATACAGCAGCATAAAATAAATTACCACGAGAAGATACAGCCAGTAATAGTAGTGTTTTATGGGATATAACACACATACCATCTTTAAAACTGTGAATTGGGAAGTTTCTGAAACCATTGAAAGGATTTCAAAACTAATTCTACAGAAAATCACTGGAATTTCTGCACTAGACTCTACAGTGAATGGGGGTTATTTTGTTCCTGAAGTTCAGGAGATCCCGTCTGCAGACAGATTGACATGTAGAAATTAACAGCAGTAATCACTCTGGTTTCAATGGAAGTTCAGCCTAATCTTTATGTAGTTTTATTCTCCCAGCTTGTGCACATGGAAGAAAGCAATTATAGCCTCGCCTTTTGAAATCTTTAATGTATTGTTTCACAAACAGACTTTGTTGCAATTTTCTGATTTTTTTTTAATATCTCATTTCTGAGATGTTAACGTTGCAATGTCAATGCATCCTGAATTCTGACGACTCTTTAAATGGAATTAACCTTTTTAACTAAAGCAGTAACATTTTCCTAGATGTGCCTCAATATGAAAATGCGTATGATCTAATGCTATGGTAGTTCCTTTTCAGAGAGTGAGCCCTCCCTTCTAGAATTCAAACCCTTCAGCAGTGGCTCCCTGGTTGGTGGATTTGTGTACCGGGGCTGCCAGTCGGAGCGGCTCTATGGAAGTTACGTGTTTGGAGACCGCAATGGGTACGTGTGTACAGCTCGCTCTAAACAGCAACGCATGGCAGGGGATTCAGTCGTTCAGCTGCCTGTGTAAAGCCACACCAACAGTCTTGTATATTGTGTCCCTTGGCCAGTTTGGCAGTGGGGCAATGCAGATTAGATTCTAGATTTGGGAATAAAATAGCACAGCTTTCTAATGAATGGTGACATACAGAACGTACCTAATCCTTGGGAAAAGGTACAGAAGTTGTAAGACAGAGAAATGCACAGATGTATCTATGAAGCTACTTGCAGCAAGTGTTTACTTATTTATCTGGACAATTAAAACCCTCTGTTCAAAATGTAATATAACTCTTTTTTTATGTGTTTGTGAATGTAGAAATTTTTTAACACTGCAACAGAGTCCTGCAACCAAACAGTGGCAAGAGAAACCCCTCTGTCTTGGCAACACTGGCTCATGTAGAGGTTTCTTTTCAGGCCCTGTCTTGGGATTTGGAGAAGATGAATTAGGTAAATACTAAAAGAGTTTTTCTTAAATTATAAGGCTTATCAGTAATTTCTGCAGCAGTATTCATAGTTATAGTAAATGTTTAAAAAGAAGGCTATCCGTCCTTCGCCAAAGCTGCTCTCACTGCTCTCAGGTACACCTCAGCAGCCTTGTTGGAAGAACTGAGAAGAGAATGTGTTGCTGGAAGGGCAAAAATCCTTATTGTGTCTCACATGCTGTGAACCTGGCACTCACTATGACACAATGTATAAAATACTTTTATTTCCAGCATTACAGAATTAAAGGACAAAGATATTGCATTGAGCAGACTGACCCCTCTTCTCCCTTCCTCACCTATTTAATTTTTTTAATCAATTCTATACTATATGAAAAAAACCCTCATGATAGAATGTTCTTCACATTTTAGCATCCATTTGGGGAAAGTGCTTATATAAATTTTCAAATAGCAAATGATTCCTTTGTATATTTCAGTATTTCTTCTGAAGTTTTTTAAATTTCATTTGGCAAATACAACCAGATCACAAAAGTCATGTATTTAACATCTTAGGAAAGGAGAAGTAATTTATTGCACTGTTTTTCCTAACAGGTGAGATTTACATATTATCAAGCAGTAAAAGTATGACACAGCCTCACAGTGGAAAACTCTACAAGATTGTTGACCCAAAAAGGTGAGTATTGCACTTCTTTTTGGGATCAGCCTTTCCCTCAATAGGTCAAAAACCAGAAGGTAACTGCAGTTCTGTTCATGTGACTGAGTTATGGAGTACTGTTGTTCAATAAAAAGGAAAATTCCTGATGCAGGGGGCTCCCTAAAAGCAAATGCTCCAGCAGCAGCAAGCAGAATTGATTCACTGTCTCATAGGAAGTGAATGTAAGAACAGCAGAGGGGTAACCAGCACTAACTTCTGGGAATTTTTACACTTTGACATTGTGCTGAAAGCTGCCCACTTTCCCACCTAGATGTATATTCTTAGCATGTTTTCATAGAGAAGTTGACCTACTTAATTTGGAACCATATGGACTGGAAGAAGATGCTCCTGGTAGTTCTGAAGCCAAGTGATTTTTAAGTACCACAGAAAGTTATGCAGCACCAGTGGAAGGCAGATGCTGGAATTCTCTCCAGCACTTCTGCTTCCTCACCTGCCACTGTGATGGGACACGGCACAACAGGAGCTGCCTCCAAAGATCAGCACTGTGAGACAAAACCTGTTCTGTGTACTAAACAGCAAGTACAGAAAATAACCTGTGAGTCCTAGCCAGGGTCAGTTTGGCTGTAAGTCAGCTCTAAGGGACTCGCTCAGTCTTTCCCAAATATCTCTTCAGTCTTTCCCAAATATCTCTTCAGTCTTTCCCAAATATCTCTTCTCCAGTTGTACAGGAGATACCACCAATGGACAATAATAGAGAGGACTCATTTCTCAGTAGGTGTGAGTTGTCACTGCTCACTAATATTGAACATATCTCTTCCATACCCCTTCTATTACATATCTCTCCCTTGGTAGGCTTGGAGCACCAAGGAGGGAAATCCTCTGTCCTTGGACTCTGTGCCAGAAATACAGGGAATTCTTTAACCATTCTTAAAGAACTGCTTCCAAAGGGCTTATAAATCCCACTCAAGTGATTTATAAGACATGGAATTAATAGGATTGTTCTAATTATTGAGACTAATTTACCAGTTGTAAAATGAGGATAAATGAAAATTATCAAGCCAAAGCTCCTCAAGGCATGATCTTTGCAGAGCAGCTGGATGTATGAAAAGATTAAGGAATCTGGAAGGACTGCAAAAAGCCAGTTCCCAACATGACCCAGGGGCCCCAGCAGCAATAAGAGCTGATGACTAGCAGATAGATACTCACTTTAGCTGGAGGAATACCATGTTCTTCATGATGGATCTTGCTGCTCAATCAGACCAAGTTCTGATATGTAAAAGTTGCACATCCATCCTGCAAAAGTATCAGAAATCAACACAAAAGGAGACAGCCATCAGAAGTGAAGTTTGTTGTATAATACTTTGACCCCATCACACCCTACAAAAGCAGCTGCCTATTTGTTCAGCATCTACTTCAGCATGTTCTTCCATGGGTATCAGATACAGTCAGACTTCCATTTTTGGCTTTCCTATTAAGGGAGGAATTTATTTTCTTGTGAGACTTAAATTCTAAACATTGTTAGTGGGATAACAAGGGAATACAACAAGAAAATCATGACACTGGTTGCACCCTGTACTGTAAGTTAGAATTTCAGGGGTAGTGGACTTTCAGTGTTTTATAATTGTACTACCCCAAAACTACAACAAATAATTTGGAAGCAGATGTTACTGCAGGTTGGTGCAGTCTGTCAGTCAAGGTTATTATGTATGTTTTATTTATGCTTTCTGGTATTGAAAACATTTTTTTAGAACAAAACTTGCCATTCTTCCTAGGATTGTTTAGTCTGTTGGTGTATGGTTTTAAGTGAATTTTACACCCTAAATCCACTATTAGTATCTAATTACATGGGGCTGCCTTTTTTGACCTCAGCTTTTTGTTCTTGTTACCTCTTCCAGTAGGGTGGTCTTCAGCTGACATACCTGAAAGGCCAGACCTCCCATTGCTGCACTCATGGTTGGCTGTTTTCATGCGTGGAAAAGGGTCAAGACTGTGTTTGGTTACTGGTGAAAGTAACCAGAAAACTATAAAATACTTTTGTAAATTGGCACACAGTTGAAATTAAACAGGCTGTGGCACAGGGATATAGTTTTTGGTAACACTTCTCAGAAGCACGGGATAATTTCCATTCAGGCAAAGTTTTGAGTTTTGCTGTCTTTCAATCTCACACCACTGCAGCTTTTAAGGGAAGGATAATGAGTGACTTCCACAATGGAGCATTGGAGATATATTTACCATTCCATGCTGAGTTCATACCACCCATGTAAATTCCATGGCTTTGGCAAATGTTCATGTAAAGTTTTAGTAACAAAATAATGTTATTTACAAGATAATATTCTTTTCCATGTTAATATTTTGTTGCTTCTCCTCGTGGTGTGCACCACACCAATGCAACAAATATTCACATAAACCCTACCACAATAAGCTTTGTAAAACACAAAGTAAGTATGCTACAGGTGGACTATGAGTAGGTGGTAATAATAAAATAATGAACCTATTGATTTGTCATGTCTTAGAAATTCATTACTTACTAAAAAACCCCTGTGAGAGGGGATCCCTGGCAGACCTGTTAATTTGCAAAGATAATCTTCCATGCCTGGGGCAGTGTAGAAGAACAAAATTATCATGCCCTGGAGTAGCCCCTTGCTGGAAATTAACAGTTCCAGCAAACCCAACCTTTTTCTCCTTGTGGTCATTTGTAAGCTGCTGCAAGCTTACAAAATTATTATTTTATTTTAAAAAATAAACATTACATGAAGGTGCAGGGCTTTATTTCTTTTGATCTTTTTAGAATCATAGAAACATTAAGGTTGGAAAAGACCTCCAAGATCAGCAAGTCCAACCTTTGACAGATCACCACCTTGTTAACTAAAGCAGAGCACTGAGTGCCATGTCCAGGTGTTTCTTGGACACCTCCAGGGATGGTGATTCCACCACTTCCCTGGGCAGTCCATTCCAATGCTTAAAAACCCTTTCAGTGAAAAAATACTTCCTGATGTCCAACCTGAACTTCCCCTGGCACAGCTTGAGGCCATATCCTTTTGTCTTGTGGAAAACTACTGCATAATCAAACAAAACCATGACTCCTATTTTTCTTGTCTCAAATGTAGCTTAAGACAGAAACCTATTACTTGGACGTAGAAAAAAATCAAATAAGGTGGGCAGGTTAAACATTAGGAGATCAGAAGATGAGGGTAATCCAGAGAACTCTTTGCATTAGTCTTCAACACTCAGCAATGGGAAAGTCCCATCCTACAACAATCCTTCAAGTGTAACAGAAATGAGGTGTTTAACTGAGGTGATATATGACAAATTGATGAACATGATCAACACAGAGGTTCTGAATCCCACAATTACCAAAGCAGTTTGAAATACAGAATTCCAGGTACCACAGTAAAAGTTCTGTTCAGTTCTTCCAAATACTTCATATCAATAACTAAATAGACCCCCACTGAAAGCACCGAGTGAAATAATCCTACTCTTTGTAAAAAGATTGTTATAATGATACATTGGTGCCTGAGAGCTCACAGACAATGAAGTGATTAAAAAAAAGCCCTAAGCATGTGAAGTGCTGCAAAATATAGGTATACTACATATTACAAAAAATCCCATAGAGAAATGAGTATAGCCAATAGCATATTTAGCTCTGAGGATGGAAGAGATGCGGGAAACAAAAAATTACAGGCACATAAAACCAGCATTGGGCACATTAGTTAAACTGGCAGTTGAAAGACATTTTTAAGTTAAAACTGTCTCTGAAAAATATTTCCATTGTTTGAGGATTATCAAAAAACCCATTACTACTACTTTCCAGGGATTGGAACTAGTGAGGAAATACAGGGAGAAAGACTTATGTTCTTCTCAACTAAAAGGTAGGGTTAGTCAGATATCCTGAAGGTCAATGCAAATACTAGCATTTTATAAATTGCTTTAGTGACTAAATACCAAAATCCCTTTATTTTCTAGTTTTCTACTTTCTGTTTATAACTTTTCTATCATGTTTTCTGTTTCTAAAAATACATACTAATATCAATCACAAAAGTGTTGATGAACTGGAAAGAAAAATCAAGTAAGTAAATAGCGATGTAGAAAATGTATAGAGGTCAAAAGATTCCAGTTAGTCAATAACAGAGAAAATAGGAGACAAACCCATTAGAAAAGAAAAAGCAATCATTTTCCTAGCATGATGAGAGGAGAAAATTAACTGTGAAAATGAATATTTAAATAAGTAAGATTTGTTGATAGGTCCATACACTCTGTAGTTTAAACATTATCACTAGACCAAGAAGTAAGAAAATAAACTTTGTACGGTGGAAGAACAGCCATAAAGAGGCTTTGTAAGTTTTCTTTCAGAATATTTATAATTTGATCACTTTAATTTCTAAGGAAATTACAGATAAAAGGAGAGATATCCAGAGAAGAGTCTAGAAGTGACAGACAATGCAAAAGTTTTCCTTTTAAAAGATGTGCTGTGAAGTTTTAAGCGTGAAGCTTTGAGAGTTTGCCACCATCCATACAGTGGTTCCAAAGGGGATAGTGACTGTTTTCACCAGGGTGGCTCACTGAAACCAGCAGGTGATTTTTATGAAGGAGGGCAGAGCCTGAGCAAGTGTTCCTGCACACAGAAGAAGATTTCCTCTTCCTCTCCTCCTAACACCTTATAGATCTGGATTTCAATGTGTTTCATATCAGCAGCCGGAATTGCTGCTTCCCGTTGGATTGAAACTTGAACTTGATTCAAACCATCTCACTCCTCTTTCATGCCCCTCCAGAGTACATCATTCCACTTATCATCCTTTCCATCATCACCTTCCGGGGTTTCCGCTGTCGGAGAGCATTTCCAAACAGGCTGATTTCAGACACCAAGGGACAATATCTAGGCCATGCCTCATTTTGACACTGTTCAGGCTCTTTAGAAAACCATTAGTGATTTGATTTTTTAACATGAGTCAGGAGTGTTTGGTGGTATGACAGAAGAAAAGCATTTATGAAAGTGAAGCTCTGTTTGAGCCTTCAGTTCC